TGGTGCTTTAGATTGTGAGATCTAAGGGTCAAGATTTCATCAAAATTAGATGCACCAAAATGGTGCGAAAATGCATCACGTCGAAATGCACCATAAACCTTCGAAAATGCACTATCTCAAAATCTGAGCGCAGGATGCAATCTGAGCCGCACGATGCATCAGATCCGACGGCTAGATTTTATTCTCATTTTTCTCCACAAGGTGCATTCTCACAGGAACCAGCCCCTATATATATATATATATATATATATATATATATATATATATATATACATACATACATACATATATATATATATATATATAAATGCCTTTTTTTAGATGTAAATGAGACAAATTAACTTTTTATATCATTTATTTATTTAAAATTATATTCATTTCATGATCACAGAGTGCTCTAACTTGACAAAAAATAGAGTAATATGAATCTATAGTCCCTGTGATATTTCATAAATGGGTAAATAGTCCGCGAAAGACGTCAATCATGTAACTATAAAAAATAGCTAATCTAAAATTTTAGTTGTGATGTGTAATTTTGAACCATAATACAATGTCTTCCATCTTTTAGTTTAACTCTTACAACGAATTCTACGTTCTTCTATAGTGATATTTTTGAATCATAGTACAATGTCGTATGTGAGCTCGACATTATTTTATTTTTCATGAAGCTTTATTCTAAGGTAATATCGTGTGAGAAAAGAACTTGAAAAAGACTATTCCACCATGAAGACGAGGGCAATTTCATGAGATAAACTTCTATTTCTCTTACATGTTTCACATTGTTACACAATACGACTATGTTCAGTGTGCTTTACGTTTTTCTTAAAGAAGGGACTAATTATACATCAATACTTTGACCACATGGACTATTTTGCAATTTTTAAAAGTACGGGGATTGTTTACCTATTTATAAAAAACCACAGGGACTATTTGTGCATATAACTCAAAAAAATGGTATAACACTTTTTTAGGGCGGAGGTTTAAACTTTTTTATCCGAGAACTAATTTTTTCTATTTATAACTGATATTGTAGGATTTTTATGCTTTCAATAAGCAGCCTAAAATTTAATTTGGGAGATGCTATGGGTACACCAAAAGTGTACCCCAAATATAAACCACCCCACTCTTTACCATTAATTTTATTTTGTTTTTATTTTTTATTTTTTATTTTTTTGAATTTTACTTGCCTTTTTATGTGGTTATGGAGGGAGTGGGGGATGTTTGGGGTATACTTTTGGTGTACCCCTAACATTTTCCATTTAAATTAGAATCTAAAAACATTGTATTGTACTCCCTTCGGCAAGCTGGGTGACCTCGGTTGGTTTCAGTAGCAGATCCCAAAATTCAGATAATTGGACTAGAAAGTCAGATAGTTGGAGGCACTATATGTCGGGGTTTAGGGGTAGTGCCCCTGATTTTTTATATTCAATATAAAATAACAAAAAAAAATGAATTTTATTCAAATATTTATTTAATGTGTTTTTTATATATGTAATGTAAAACTTTATTTTATAAACAATTAATTATATGCAAGAAATACATTTGAATGGGTGTCTTCTCAATTTAATTGAGAGACAATGTACATAAAGCCTAAAATGTACTCCAAAACTTGTTAAGCCCTGGACCAAAAAAAGTAGTTGGGGAACATGTATCATGTTCTCCCCAACTTATTTTTTACTTATTACTTATTCTTATAAAATCAGATAAGACAAGACCAGACTAGATTAGACACAATCAGAAATAGCTTTAAATAAAAACTACATTCAGATCAAGTTAAATCAAATCATATCAGACCATATTAGAATTTATTCCAATCAGATTAGGTTAAGAAAACATGGCCATGATAATACATGGTGCATCCACCCTGGTTGGTTTGTGTTTAAAACAACTCTTTCTTGTAATTTTTTATTTAATTTAATTATGAAACGCATTCAAGCATCAAACCAATTCAACCACATTTGAAAAACTTTCAGGCTTCGTTTGGTACACGAAATTCAAATCATGAAATTTGAATTGGAATTACAATTTCAATTCTGCTGTTTGGTAGCACAAATATATGTGGATTTGGAATTAATATTGTAAAAATTGAATTGAAATTGGAGGATTCATTTTTATCCAATTCAATTCTATAGAATTTTAATTCTAATTCAATTCCAATTCTATCAATTCTGTGAACCAAACGAACCCCCAATTATTTAGAAAAGAGAATCATATTTTTGTAATGGATTTATGAACTTTTAAATAGTTCATATAAAGAAGAAATGAACACTTTTTTATCTAAAAATAAATATAACTAATTATGCCTAAAAAATATTGTGAAATTTGCACTAAATAGGACTAAAACATAAGTCATTTCTCAATGCAGGACTTGAATTTTTTTATTCCCTAAATAGGAGTGAATAATGTCTAGTGGAAGGAATAATGTCCAGTAATGATGGACATTTACTTGAATAATGACTAATTGATAATGACCAAAGGTCCTACATTGGGAAATAAAAACATATGGTCTTATATTGGGAAAGTCATTATGTTTTAGTCCTATTTAGGTAAATTTCTCAAAAATATTTTCATATTTCAAAATCAAGTAAATAGTAAGATTTATTAATTACTACCAAGTATCATATATCATCATATATATCCTTTAATATAATATTTGAGAGTTGATAGCCTAAAATGATGACACGTGGCAAGTGAAGGCTCTTAATTTGAAGACACATCAGATGACACGCGTCTTAATATTGGCGTTGCTCTCCTTCGTCGAACAACTCCGACCCGAATTAGGGATTCTCTCCCGACTTCTTCTTCCCCGACTGAAAAGGAAATTTCCCAATCTTCACGCTGCGTTTCTTGCAAATCTTCACGCTGAAAAGGAAATTCCACGCTGCGTTGGGTCACGGAAGGAAAGAACAACTCCGACCCGAATTAGGGATTCTCTCCCGACTTATTTTTCCCCGACTGAAAAGGAAATTTCCCTAAATCTTCACGCTGCATTTCTTGCAAATCTTCACGCTGAAAAGGAAACAAATATGATTCCTCGCTGCGTTGGGCCACGGAAGGAAAGAAATCACAGGTACTCCGATACGGCTTTCCATTTTCTTCTTCGGTACCCCAATTTTCCCTAATTTTTACCCGAAATTAGGGTTGATTAATACCAATATGCTTTCTTCAATTGATTGAAAAAATTAAAATTGTGATTCATACCTAATTCATATTCGTATACCCTAATAAGAATTGAGAAATCATATACCTAATTTATATTCTATTAATAGATGTATTCTTTCTACCTATAATTCTATATATATACATTCTCCTCAAAGAACAACCCAGAATACCCATTTTCTAAGATTCATATTCCTTTTTGTTTTTTTCGTTTATTCCATGACAATGACCATCCATCCACAATCGAAGATCACTCCAAGCAGTGAATGTTGGAGGATCATGGTTCGTGTTGTACGATTGTATACTTTACCCGCTTATAATGATGGGAGGACTACAAATTCCATTGAAATGGTGTTCATGGATGAACATGTATGTCACCTTCTCTTGATTCATCATATTCCTTCTCATTTTTTTGTTATACATTATATTAGGTCTATTATTCTATATAGGTTTTTTCGTGTGGTATAACTGGCATGTTTTTAGTGTNAGGATCATGGTTCGTGTTGTACGATTGTATACTTTACCCGCTTATAATGATGGGAGGACTACAAATTCCATTGAAATGGTGTTCATGGATGAACATGTATGTCACCTTCTCTTGATTCATCATATTCCTTCTCATTTTTTTGTTATACATTATATTAGGTCTATTATTCTATATAGGTTTTTTCGTGTGGTATAACTGGCATGTTTTTAGTGTGGTTATATTTGTTTTTTTGGATTATAAGCCTGTCATATTCTTAGTGTTGTTGTATTTCTTATTGTGGCATATTGTTGGTGTGGCATGTGAAAGCGTTGTTAAGAAACTGTATGCCTGAGGTGGGTTTACTAATTTCAATATACTTAAACTGTGGTTAAGAAAATAGAGTGGTTGTTAAGAAAACAGTGTGGTTGTATGCCTGAGGTGGGTTTAGTGATTTGAATATACTTAAACTGTGGTTAAGAAAACAGTGTTAAGAAGACAGTGTTAAGAAAACAGTGTTACTGATTTCAAAGCATTGTTAAGAAAACATTGTGGTTGTGTTTGTTAGTGGAGTTAGTGGCATTAGGTATTAAGAAACTGATTTAATCAGCTACTGCGGGTTTAGTGAGGTGTATGGACAGATTAAGTATATAGAAATCAGTAACTGTAACGGTTTAAGTCCTAAGCAGCCTGTTTTCATCCTTGAAGACAGCCTTGTTGCGGCCTGTTTGCTTAGTGTATGATTAAGATGTTTTGTTGTTTTTTTGTTATTATATTCAGATTTGTTTTTGTATCGTGAGAGGATATGTTGTTGCTGATTTTTTATGATGTTTAATTTGAACAAACAAATGTAGGGAACTACGATACATGCCACTGTCCGGAGAAGTTTGGTTGGAACTTTTGAGAAGCGAATAAAGGAAGGGTCTGTGTATGTCTTTGCCTATTTCGGCATTGGCATTAGTAGTGGAAATTATCGGACCTCTCGACATGAATTCAGGCTGAATTTCCAACCAAGAACCACTGTAACTGCATGTAGCTGTGAGAGAATACCTATGCATGGTCTTAAGTTGACTACTATTTCAGAAATATTGCTGGCAGACTCAAACTACCCGTATTTAGTTCGTAATAAATCACTCACTTATCCAAAATTTAATTTACTCCAATAAGTTTATGATTATATCTCATATTTTTTCTTTTATCAGACACTATGGGGGTCCTAACTGCTGTGGGCAAGCAAAAAGAAATTGTTAAAGAGTCCAAAAGGACAAAGATGATTGTGATTCAGTTAGAAGCGGATGGGTACTTTATGATTTTCATAACTTTGTAGCAACGACAATATGAATATGACATCTATACAAGATTAATTTATTCTTTTCTTTTTACTTGGTGATTCAGGGTGACGTTAGATATAACACTGTTTGGGGAGTACGTTGACAAGATCAAAAGCTTCTTTGGGAGACAACCATTGGAAAATGC